GCATGTGGGACCCTCCCAGACCGGGGCATGAACCTGTGTCCCCTGCATCGGCAGGCGGACTCTCAACCACTGTGCCACCAGGGAAGCCCTGTTTTTAGTTTTTTAAAGGAGCTGCATACTGTTCTCCATAGTGGCTGTATCAATTTACATTCCCACCAATAGTGCAGGAGGGTTCCCTTTTCTCCACACCCTCTCCAGCATTTATTGTTTCTAGATTTTTTGATGCTGGCTCTTTATCAGTTTCTAAAGCTCTTTCTCCTTTTTACAGCTGAGTAGTATTCACTGTGTCCATTTATCATGATTTATGTAGCTCCTCACTGATGGGTATTGGGTTCTTTCCAATCTTTTGGTTTTAAAACTAATGCCACAATGCATAATCTTATGCACAAGTCATGTTCTGTTTTTGCCAGTGCTTCTTGGGGATACATTTCTATAGTCTAAATTTCTGGGTCAAGGGTAAATGGATATGTCATTTTTCTAGGTATTGCTAAATTCATCACATGGATTTTATACCTTAGAGTCCCACAAGTTATGTATTCGAGTCTAATAGGCTTTTTAAAACTAACTGGAAGCTTATCAGTTGGTCACTGCATATATTTTATGGGGAAAATGAATTTTCTCTATGGAAAAAAGAACACAGACTCTAGAGAAATACTTCCCCCTTACTGAGGCTGGGCTGGGAAACATCTGTTGGCCCACAGGGTGGGGGGCTCTGAGGAAGCCCCAGAAATATTGCCCATTTGTTTCTAAGTCTAAAGGACCTTGCGTGAGGACTTCTGCTTTTTCTTTATCGCAGCTGCAATATGAACCAATTTGGGGTCATCCTGTTTCAGAAGTGGCTAAGTCTACCCTCAGCTCATGGGGGATCTTGGAGGTTCTGGAGGGGGAGAGGAGGGTAGTCACTGGAGAAGGTGAAAGCAAGTCGTGCCTGGTGAGGATTTAGAACAAAAGGGAGCCCTTGTTTCCTGCTACCTTATCACCTGTAAGGTGATGAGCCATCCTGGTCTCCCCTGTAACCAAAAGTAGGGCAGGCAGACTCCTTTTTCTCTGACCCCCTTAGAAAATCTAGGTAAACACCTTTTGTTTCTTTAAGTTTTGAGGAAGCGAGGGGATCATTACATTATTGAATTATTAAATGACGTGGAGTTATGCTGGTTGCTCAAAGACGCTTCTCAGCCTCAGCATCTTGGATTCTGAACCCAGCCCTCACGGGTCTCTCCTTAGAACAGGGCCTGCACAGAGTCAGCACTCAGTGCGCATTTGTGGGTTGAGGGACAGCAGCATCCCCTCCTGTTGAGAGGCTTTGCGGGGCCAATTCTACAGATCCGGGTCAGACTGGGTCCTCCACGTGGGCGCTCTGAGACCTTGGCAAGTTACTCATTGCTCTGTACCTCTGTTTCCTAGTCTGTAATACTGGCAAAACGGCGATCACCGCACCTCAGAGGAGACGGTTAGAGAAGGGTTGTGATGAGCTGATGAGATAACTGCATTACAGTCGATTGGGAGAAGCGTCAGGGTCCTCAGAGATGGCTACTTGTCTTTGAGACGTTGACGTCCAGGGGCAGGGGCCGAGGGAGGCCTGGCATTTAGGAGGAGATTAATAATAAGCAGGACATATAATAGTAAATCATAAAACAGGTAAATCTGATTGCATCGAGATGTAAAGCTTCAGTGTGATAAAGTAACAGCTAACATATAGTTAACCCTTAAAAAAAACATCTTTCGTGATGCAGTTGTCGTTTTGCCAGTTTTACTGATGAGAAAACTGAGGCACCGAGTAGAATCACCTGCCCAAAGGTGCACTACCCCAAAGTGGGTAGACTGGGCTGTGAACTGAGGTGAGTCTGCAGGGCCTGTGCCCTTCACCGTGCCGGCCGCTGCTTTGCATGCAGTTAAAAGGCCCGTCACGGAGTGGAGGGGACACTTCTCCCATCCGTCCTGCATGTGCTTACTAAGCGCAGCTGTACTCAGCACTGTACTGGGCACAGTGCTGAGGTCGTGGGCATGAGCCAAGCATAACTCTGCCCTCCTTGAGCTTATGTGATCGTGGAAAAGAGGACCCACACAGTCATAAAGAACTGCACATTCCTGAGACACAGGCAACCTAGTGGGTAAATGGGCAAAGGAAGCCCCAGGGGCCAGGGAATCTGTTAAAAAATTTATATTTATGCAGCCTCCTTGATGGTCAGGGAAGTGCAACTTAAAATTGTCTGATGGGTGAGAATGAAGAAGTCTGTCCTTTCAGATTCTGGCCAGGATGGTCGGGGGTGGGCACTGGTTCTCAAAGTGTGGTCAGAGGAACCTTCTGGGAACCTTTCACAATACACACTCTACGTGTACTCCGTGCTCTTCTCATAATACTGGGTAGTTACTTGCCCTTTTCCCTCAGTGCTCTCACAAGTGTACAGTGGAGTTTTCCAGAGGCCACATGGCATGTCGTCACCACAGATTGAACCCAGAGGCAGAGATGGGAGCCCAGTTGCCTTCTTTTAAGCCGGACATGAAAGAGATTTGCAAAAATGTATAGCAATGCTACTCTTCTCGTTAAAGTTTTTTTTTTTTTTAAATAAAAACCCTGCAATTATTTGAGCCATTATTTAAGTGTTACAGGCAGTAGAACACAACGCCTAATTGACATATTAGCTGTCCAGTCTGTTTATTTACTTTTATTGAGCTGGTTTGTTTTCATGGTACCCTTTGTTTTTTTTCTTTTTTGGCCACACTGCATGGCATGTGGGATCTTAGTTCCCCAACCAGGGATTGAACCCGCGCCCCCTGCATTGAAAGGCAGAGTGTTAACCACTGGACTGCTGGGGAAGTCCCTTGTTAAGGTTTTTTTTTTAATACAGTTGTTTTTCATAAAAATATACAGGTTAACATATGATAGGTTTATTATGTTATGTTTTAAATGAATTAATAAACATTTTAAAACGTTTGGGACTTCCCTGGTGGTACAGTGGTTAAGACTCCAGGCTCCCAATGCAGGGGGCCTGGGTTCGATCCCTGGTCAGGGAGCTAGATCCTACATGCATGCCGCAACTAAGAGTTCGCATGCATCAACTAAGGAGCCCATGAGCTGCAACTAAGACCCGGCACAACCAAAAAACAAAAGTTTAAATTTCTAATCAGGTAAACATTAGTAGCTCTAACTCATGGAAGCAATACCTCTTTGGAGCCTTTAATGTTTATTAGTGTAAAGGAGTCCCGAGACCAAAATGTTTGAAAACCACTGCTCTGCAGCAGTGTTTTTCCAACTGTAGATTGCAATTTATTAACGACTTAGGAACCTAGTTAGTGGGTTATGATGATCTTTAAAAAAAAAAAAGGGAAGTGGAGTAAAGTCTAAAGGAGGAATCAGTCCACAGCATGTGAGGTTACATACTATTTTGTGAACCTGATTTCAGTCTTTCATACATTTATGTGTGTGTATGTAGAATTGTAGTGCTGAGTGGATTTCTTGGCGTGGATCGGGGTCAGAAAAGGTAGAAAGCCCTGGAGGACCTCATGCATGTGTGGGCGGGAAATCATGTACAAGGATGTTCATTGCTGCGTTGTAGGAAATAACAACGGTAACATCAGTCTCCACACAGAGGGACTGTCTTAATAAAATGTGGGAGAGTGAGATGATTGAATCCTGTACAGCACTTAAAAGAAATGTACTAGGGCTTCCCTGGTGGTGCAGTGGTTGAGAGTCCGCCTGCCGATGCAGGGGACACGGGTTCGTGCCCTGGTCCAGGAAGATCCCACATGCCGCGGAGCGGCTGGGCCCGTGAGCCATGGCCGCTGAGCCTGCGCGTCCAGAGCCTGTGCTCCGCAACGGGAGAGGCCACAACAGTGAGAGGCCCACATACCGCAAAAACAAAAACAAACCAAAAAAAACAAAAAGAAATGTGCTAGATGAGAAGCAAACTAACAGTATAACACTTACGTAAATAAATACCTATAAGATGACACCTTATGTTCTTAGAAATATACGTTAAGTGTAAAGACAGTTTAGAATGGATTGGAAAGGATTCATGCCAGATTCATGATGCTGCTTTCCCCTAGGGAGGGACTGTGCTGACAGATGGGCAAAGGGGACTCCAAGAAAATCTCTAATTTTATTTTAGAAAGGATTTCCCACCGTTAGATTGGGAACACTAGTGTTTATTTATTTTCTGTTCTTTCCTAAAGCAGGTAGCCAGATCCTGAAAGAGAGAAAAACCATATAAATCAGAACTTTGGACACGGATTTTGCAAAAATTGGATAAATAGCCAGTTGTAATCCAAAAAACATGAAATCATAATTACTTTGTCAGCAAGTATTTGCAGTCTTACTGGTATGCCAGAACCTTGTTAGCCTCCTGTGGGGCAGCAGCAGACCAGACCCTGGTCCCTGTTCTCATGGCATTTCCCGTCTGGCATTTGATCTGGGTGCCCATTGTGTGCAGTCGCTGAGCACTTAGCTCTCGGTGTTGTGTGTCTTCCTCACAACAGCCGGGTGAAGTGGGTGCTGGCTTCTGTGCATTTTACAGATGGAGAAACTGGGGTTTAGAGAGGTTGAGTGTTTGCCCCCTAGGACAGCCAAAGACTTGCAAGATGGTAGTGGGCAGGACTGATGTGGGCAGGTCTTTTAAGCTCATCTGGGCTGTAAAGAGAATATACAAGTCATCCTTAATGATTCAGGCACAGGTTAGCCTAAGATAAAATCCAGAAATAATCCTGAAATATCATTATAGCCAACAGTTTCACATTTGTCCATTAAACCTTTCCTTTTTAAACTGGCCATTTTAGCAAGAATCCAGCTAGACTGGGTCCAGCTGTGAGTGTTCTCTTGGAGACGGTGTTACAGGCAGGAGGAAGGTAGAGAAACGGAGGGAAGATGCAGGGGTCAGTGCTCTTCTCATTCTGGGACTTGTGCAAGGTCTACAGAGTGTTGACAGCCCTCAGCTGTTGGGGTGTCCAAGTAGGAAGTGGCAGAGGCATTGCTGTGACTCTTGTCCTCACTCTTTCCTTCCCAGGAGTATTTCTTGCAAGCAGAGCTGACAAGTAATGTTTTGAAGACAGGCGTGGTCCGCTGCTGCGTGGGGCAGTGCAGCAACGCCATCCCCATGGACACCGTGCTCACCATGCGGAAGCTACCCATCACCTATGTACGTGTCTCGGCCACGACCTCTGCTCTCCGTAGGATTTAGTTCAGTCGTCTTTGTGCCCATCTGGGTTGTGGGTGAGGGAGGTGAAGGGGAAGCTCGTCCAATCCTTCCACGAGGAAGGCCCAGAGGTGTCTGGTGGGCCTCAGTGTCACAGACGCTGGACCCAGTGGGGCCAGGCTGGGTGACCACAGTCTGGGAGGTGGGCTTGTGTGGACACTCAGGTGAGGACAGTTTACCTGGGGGCCCAGTTAGGTTTTTCTTGGCTCTTCATCCCTTGCCTTGATACGTTCTGGGGGATTTGATAGAGCAGAGTCCACCCTGGACACTTGTGCTGGGGGAGGTACGGCCTCAGGGCCACACAGGCCCTGAAAGCATCAGTCATGATGGCAGTGCTGGTGGTGGTTGGTTCACACTTCTTGGTGGGAAACGCTTGCCCTTCAATTGTTCCCCCTGCTCCCTTTTTCTCATCCCGCCCTGCAGAGCAACAGGAAGGAAAACAAGGGTGGGTACCTTTGCCACTCATGTGCAGAGCAGCGCATTGGGCCGCTGGCCTTCCTGACTGCCTCCCCCGAGCAGGTGCGCGCCATGGACCGCACCGTGGAGAACATCGTGCTTCCCCGGCATGAGGCCCTGCTCTTCCTTGTCTTCTGAGATGCAGGGAGCTCTCTCCTCTGGCCGGGATGCTGGGCAGACTCCTGCCTCCGTGGACGGCGGCATGGGGGGCTCCCTCCCCGAGACCGGACTCACTCACAGAGCATCTTCTGAGGAAGATGAAGCCGACTGGAGCTGGACTTGCCGTGTCTCCACCCCTGGAGGTAGCCAGACCCCACTGCCCCTCCTCCACCCCAGCAGGCCGGGGATGCAGGGGATGGTCTTTTGATAAAAAAAAAAAAAAGAAAAAAAAAAGAAAAATTATGTATTTAAACTTTTATTACAAGGTTTCGATTAAACAGGCATTGTAGCACTGGCGTTCCACTGTGTGACGGCCCCTGCCTTCAGCCCTGCTGTTTCTGGACTTTCTCCTTTTCTCCTCTTACTCTTTTCAAAGCTCTGTAACTGTTCACAGTGCACACCAAGCAGAGTAGGAGGCTTATTGTCCAGGGTGACAACTAATGCATCAAAAATGAGATTTTTCATGCTGTGGGGAATCACACATGTGTAAGACACAGGGTGCCCCTTTGTCATCACGGGGTTCACAGCCTGAACAGGGAGGCAGCGTGACATATAACAAGACAAGTAGAAAGTGACACTAGCTAGACACCTTGTGTTCCCACAGGTAGAACGGAAGACCAGAAATACCTGAGAGGGAGGCGGAGTAGGCCAGCCACGTTGTTGGGGAGACAGGAGCAGGTGGAGATGGGCAGCTGGTACCTAGTTCACTGCCTGGGGATGCTGGGTGGATGTCGTAATAAAGCTGTTCTTTATAGAGACCAGTGGGAAAACCCACGTTGCTTAGCCGTACATGGATCTGGTTTTTTACATTTTTGCCATGCAGCACTTCAGGGATGCAGATGGCAGGTGAGGGCATTGCCCAGAGAGTTCACCAGCTAGTGTCTGAGCCCAGTCAGCGGAGTGGAGAGCAGACTCCTAGCCTCATTGTTGCGGCCGCCCCTAACCTCTCCCACGTCAGGCCTCTAGTGGAGTTTAGCGAGCAGGCCGGTGAGTAAAGCAAGGGTGCTGTTGGATCGGGCTGGGGTGCTTGGAAAGGGTGAGGGACACGTCTGCACATAGCAGAGAATTCACAGAATGGGCCCTGAAGACAGAGGTGGGACGGGGTGCTTTCATCTGCTCCGCCGGCATGCCTGGCCTCGCCTCGCCTCATTTGGTGCTTTTGGTTAACTCAGAGCAAAACAGCACGTGAAACGAAATGGTTTGGATTTGGAGGTCACAGTGCTCAGAGTCGTTCAGAAGAGGGGTTTGTGGGGGTGGGTGGCAAGAGGGGCCATGAACACGTTTTCTGGAAATCTGCTTTTACCAACCAGAGAGGAAGCAACTTATTTATTGGGGAGAAGTCATGAATTCTCTAGACCTTCTCAGAGCACCTGATGTGGGGCAGGGCCCTGGTCGCGGGCGTCTGCAGTCAGCCGTGGTCCTGACTCGGAGAGGTGACAGTAAGAGGTGTGATGCGTGTGGGGTGTTTGGAGGCGGGCCGCTCGGGTGTGGGGCAGAGGGCGTCCGGAGAGGGAGCCGCACTGCTGCTCTGGGGCGGGAGGGGTGTCTCTCTCAGAGGTGAGGTCGGAGGGCCACCAAAGCGGGTGGTGCTGGAGTTGTTTTTAATAACGGGGTGAGTCGTTAGCTATTAAAGAAGAAAAGAATATTCTAGAAAGAAGGAAAAACATGAAGTGTTGGTGGTCACGGCACTACCAGGGCAAAATGTCAGCACTAGTATTTTGGTACTTATTTAAAAAATAATAGGATCTAGGAATTGATGCTGGTACTTTATTTTTTAAGTGTTAAGAATTTCTAAAAAATCAGTAAAATCAAATGGTTGGTGTGTTTCAAATAGAAAAACAATTTTTAAATACACAGTAAAAATAGAAATGATATTTATTTTAGTTTCTTATCAGTAATCAGTTTAAGATAGAAATTCCTATATAAAACTTACGATTTTGTTAAATATACTTATAAAGTTAATTATATTCTATTTATTTTTATTAAAAATTTTTTATTGAAGTGTAGTTGATTTACAATATTATATTAGTTTCAGGTGTACAACATAGTGATTTAATATTTTTATAGATATACTCCATTTAAAGTTTTTAAAAATGGTTATATTTCCCTGTGCTGTACAATATATCTTTGTTGCTTATCTATTTTATACATAGTAGTTTGCATCTCTTAATCCCATACCCTTATCTATAAGTGTTAAATACCCATTATCACTTGAATAAAAGTGATTAGATGGAAAGAGTAAAAGCATTATTCAAAAATGTAAACTAAATACTACATGAAAATGAAAATCTTTTAGATCTTTTATAAGGTATAGTCTTTAAAATATGGGGCTTCCATGATTTCATTTAGTTGTTAATGTATTTTTGTGCACAATTTTCTGTAGAAGTTTGTTTTGTTTTTACACCACGTAAATTGGGAGAAAAAATAATTATAAGCTAGTTCCAAATATTTTTCTTTGGTTCATTAATTTTTAAATAATCCCTCTTATTTGATAACTTAGAGGAGTTCTTTTTTCAGTTGTTAAAGAATGTGCAGTCTACTGATAGCAAGTTCTAGTTTTTTTGTTTCAAAGTTAGGATTTCTGATTTGTCTCTGTCTTTGACTTTATCATGTATATAGAGGTTCTGATGCAGAGTTACTCATATAAAAACAAATTATGTTATGTCATAATCCATTTGTTTAGAAGGTATTTGAAATAAAATAAAAATTATTCTTGGAATAGAAGTGTTAAAATATCATAGTGCATTGTAGACTATGCATTAGTTTTTCCTTTCACATAATTATTCTCAAAACATATTTCAGATTTTAGATTTTTAAAAAACTAGGTGATAGTAGTTGACCAACCTGAAATATTGGCATAGAGAAATTTTAAAATGTCACAGAACATCAGCACCTGAAATTGCATTCACTAAAGGTATGCCACTGTAGGAAAGGCTTGGGGAAATGAGATGTGTGTGGCTGGAGAATGTATATAGTAGGAGCCGGCTAGCAAGGGCCAGGTAACAAAGGGCCCGGGACACGAAGGAGTTTGGGTGGTATCCTCAAAGATTATTAGTCAATGTGAGATTTTAAGACATCAGATTTTGTTTTCAGGAAGAACATTCCAGTTGTAGATTGGAGGATGTTTTAAGAAGGTCAGATCAATTAAGAGGCTCAGAGTTGTGATATCTGCAAGAAATGACAACCACTGGGCTGGACCAAGACAGGCAAAATGGGTCTGGTGAGGAAGGGATGGACCTAGGTGAGTGGTCCTCAGAGTGTGGCCCCAGATGAGCAGCGTCAGCATCCCTTGGGAACTTGATAGAACTGCACATTCTGTTCTTCACCCACATCTACTGGATCAGAACCCATGAGACAGCCCAGCAGCTGGCATTTAACCAGCCCTACAGTGATTCTGATACACACTGAATTCTGAGAACTTTTGCTCTCAGGATTAAAAGGTAGAATCAGTAGGACTTAGTGCTTCAGTGGCGAGTCTGTGATAGGAATCCCGATGGGACCCCTGGTCTTCTGGCTTGTTTTCAGGATGGGTGAGGGTACCCATCATTGGGACAGAAAACATAGGGTGTGGTAGGTTTGTATAAAAACAGTGATGGGTTTGGTTTTGACATGTTGAGTTTGGGTGCTTATGAGAAACCCAGGTAGATTTGTCCTGGAGGCTATTGGGAAAACAGGTGTGTACATCAGCAGACCTGTTTGGGCTGGGAGCAGAGGGTTTAGAGCTGTCACGTGTAAGTGGTGGGTGAGGTAGATCAGTGTAGGGGTCTCCGAGCTCACCCCAGCGTAGGGTCCAGAGAGAAAAGAGCAGAGGACGACGAGGCTTGGGAGGAAAAAGGAAGAGGATTCTGTGAAGGAAGTGACAACTAGTTCTGAAAGATAGAGCTGCTGCTGAATTCAGGAGAGGAAGGGGTTTAAGCAGGAGTGAGCTTCAGCATCCAGCACTGTCCAGACCGAGGGGAATGAAGGTACAGAGCCAGAGGTGATGGTGTTAGTGCAAAGCCTATTATCTGCTCTACCTTCACCCAAGGTCATCCTTTAAAGAACCTACCCAGGGCCTCAAGTAGTAGCTGACAGGACTCAACATCCTGGATTGTTTTTTTCCTTTTTTAAATGTCCAATTCAATGGTCCTGGATTCTTTTTTATGTAATCATTTTCCTGGTATTATGTTTTCTTGATCTGGAGCCTGTGACAGAAAAGGTAACATTCTAATGAGTGGTTTGGAGCTGCATGAGGAAGGGCCACTGACTTCCTGGCCTGAGGTGGAGGGACCTCACTGTCCTGTCCTCCCCCTCTGCTCAGCCCGTTTCACATCTCAGGGTAACTTACACCGTCCCCACTTTGTGTTACCAAATTCTGTATCCGGACACTTGGGGCCATGAGTCCCCCAGACAGAAGCTCTAAAGGGCATTGAACAGGAAATGTGACGGTTTCGCAGAGGAGGGCGGGCTGTTTCTGGCCTCCCTGCCGTCTCTAGTGTCAGCTTTGCCGCCAGGCTGGCTTCCCCGTGGCAAGCTGCCTGTATCTTGTCGGGCAGTGTGTCCAGATGCAGCAGTGAGAAGAAAGCCTGTCCTTTGTGTCTCTTGGGAGCAAGGAATCCTTCCCCAGGAGCTTCCCCTCACGTCTCAGTGGTCAGAACAGGGTCACTTGCCCATTCCTAACCCAGCTGCTAGCAGGAGGGTAGCTTAAAATAATCAGGATTTGCTTTCCTGGAGTCTGGAATGAGGTCTGCTTCCTTTGATATACATGATGGTGTGGAAGAGAATTAATACCCCAAAAGTGGGAACTCGTTTGAAAAGGAAGGAGAGGGGCAGGCAACTGCCAGGGCCTGATTGTCCAGTGTACACATCGATGTCGTCCAGGAAACGACTGCTGCATTTCTTAGCATGGTAGACATACTCGGGACTGCACATTATTTTATGTAGTTCTCCCGACAAACCTGGAGGAGCGGATGATGAAGCAGCCTTTAGAGTGATTGATCAGTAGCACATAGAATAGTGCTCGGGTTAAAACAAGTGTGATCTCCAAACCCGTGGTATTTCCAGCACCACCATGTCAACGGAACTAGAACTCTTCAAAAAGCCCACATTTGTCAAAAACAAAGCATCAAAGGCTTTCTGATGTTCTCAGCCATGGCATTCTTCAAACCAAATTTTACTGCCAGTTAAAGTGTAGCTACTGTAATTAGGACTTGGGGTGGCAACTAGAATTCTTTCTTAAGCTCTCCCCCTGGGAAGCCCCCAGGCTAAGGCTCTAAGGCTTCTGGGAACAGACCAGAGACACCGCAGCCACATGCAGC